AATATATAAATTATAATTAAAATTTATATAAATAAATATTTTTAAACATATAAATTATATTTTAAATTTTTGATAAATGATTTATATTTTAATGTAAATTATTTTATTTATTCATAAATTATTTTAAAAATATTAAAATTTAATTTATAAATAATATAATAAATAAATAAATTGAATTAGATAAGTAAATATAAAAATTCTTAAAATCTCTCTTATAGAAGAAAAAACTCTAAAAACATATTAATCATGTGTTTAATATATAGAAATTAATTAATCTAATTCAATTTAATTTTAAATATCTTCTAAATCCACGCCTATTGTCCTCCAAATGGACTAAACACATGTAATTTTTTTATTTACACCACAAAAGTAAGGGTGTTTGTTTGTTTTTACAATTCAATAAAACTTATAATTTGAATCAAACCAATTAAGTTGGTTAAGTTTTTTTTTTCTTGATAAGATCAAATCTAATCCTAACTAATTAAATCTGATCTTAGTTGGTTCAGATCATAGATTTACATTTTACAAATTTGATGATCTAAGAACCAAACTAATTAAAAATATTATTAGTTGTTTTATTTGATTATTATAATTATTATCTTAACATTATTTTATAATATTGTGATTTTATTAATAACACATAATGATTTTATTAGAATACATGATAACTACTTGGATGATGATTGTAACTTAGATAATTTAGTTATGTTCAAAAGATTATCTCAATTTTAAATGTTGAAATACTTTAATTTCAAATGTTAAACTATGATACATTATATTTGTCTACTTTAATTTTATATTTTTGTTTAGGCTTGAATGATATTTACACCTTTTTAATAATAAGCTTTTATTTAAATTTTAGAATAAAATAATATACTTTTATAGTTATAAAAAGGATAAATATCTATCATCTTTATTCATTGTTGATTGGTTTGGCTTGATTCAAATTTTTTTTTTTGAAAAATCTGATCCAAATTAAACCAATCAAAATTGATTGATTTGGACTTTAGTTTATTCAAAATCCAAACTAAATTGGTCCATGAATGCCTCTACACAAAAATTCTTAAATTCTTAAATAAAGAGGTGCAAGTCATCCATATGATGATATCAACAAAATAATCAATAACTATTATTTTTAAATAAAAGTATTCATTAATCATATCAATTTGACAAAACTAACAATTAATTTGAACGAAATCAATTAAATTGGTTCAGATTTTTTTTTTCCGGATTCAACTTGAACCAAACCAATTAAATTCAATGTTAATTTGTTCAAGTATTGGATTTACAAATTTAAAATTCAAATCAATCCAGACCAAACCAATTAATTATATATTATTATTATTTTATTTATAATTTGATTAAAAATTAATATATATGTATCATTTTGAAAATATTTTTGTGTTACAATATATGCATTTTTTCATTTATTTTCTCCAATACTTAAAGAAACTAAAAGTAATTATATTATAATATATTGCGCTATTTTTACATATTGTAGTGCATTTAAAATCCTTAAGTAAATTAAGAAAGAAAACTAAGAGGAACTATATTGTAAATTTATCAATTTAGTTAATTTCTGACAATATATCAATTTAGTTAATATTTGAAAATCTATTTACTTTGAGAGAGAAGAGTTATTTTTTTTAATTTATTTCCTTTTAAATTCATTGGATATCATAACGGGCCGTTCTGGAATTTGAACGGGCCGTTTCGAAGCTTCAGCCGAGGGCACTGCGCCTGGTGTGACTGCACCCCAATGTGGGTCAGCTGGAACCCTCAAGGAGACCCAAAATGGCCATGAACAAAACAAAACGAGGAAAAGAAAGAAAAACCAAATAAAAGAACCTACTTGAGGGTGGAGTGTGTGGAGGAAGAAGACTCAGCAGATGTATGCCCTGATGGACCCTTGATGAAGAAGATGAATGGAGATAAGAGTGAGAGTTCACGTGGGAGAGAGACTGTGGGAAGATGGAGTTGAGAGACTGAATGGGAAAGTGGGAGTGTGAGTTGAGAGAGTTCAGAGTGTGAAGTTGAGGGGTTGAGAGTGAAGAGTGAGAGAGTGGGAAGTTGAGAGAGTGGGAACGTGGGAGAAGAAGTTGAGGGGTTAAGGCCTCTGAAGGGGCGCGTTGGGCGTGCCATTTTCCACGCCAGGCGCCATATCAGTAGAAGCCCAAAGGTTACCCTATTCTGGTGTGGCGCCGGGTGCAATTAGGGTTACAGCGTACAAACATTCAATGCGCCAGGCTTGGCAGATACGCGCCCGGTGTATTTAAGGCTCAGACCTTCCAGTAGTTAATGCGCCCGGCACCCCCAATAAATGCGTCGGGCTTGGTTGTTCCAGGGGCTCTAATGAAGGCTGGGCCGAGCGCAATAAAAATTGTGCCCGGCATGGGTCTTGGTAGAGGCCCATTTACTCTAGCTGCGCTGGGCGTGGCTAAGTCGCGCCCGGCGTGGTTAACCCTGTGAAGCTTCCACCTAGATTTTTCCACTCCTCACACTCCTAACATATTCTAATCTATATTAACCCACTCAAGCAAGATTCACATAATTAATACCTAACACAAAACAAATATAATATGATACAACATACATATCACAGAACATAAACAATCACAAAACAAGTCCCATATACAAGTATAGCATATAATTATAACACAATCACAATAAAAGCTAAAACACAAGTAACTGAAAGGCATATAAAAACACAGTTCAGATCTCAGGGTTGCCTCCCAGGAAGCGCTTGTTTAATGTCCCGAGCCTGACAAGAAGAGACCTCAAAGGTCTTTGAAAGAAAGGATACAGCAGAGTCTTCCATCCTCCATGAGTGCCTTCTTTTTATCTCTACTTTCTCCTTCTTTCTCTTTATCAATTTCTCCCTTTTGTCACTCTTTTTTTCATTTTCAATTTTCATTTTATTTCCTTCAACCGACTCAATTCCTTCACTCCTTCTTTATAGTCTTGGCTCTCTTATTATTCTTCTCACTCTCCTTCACCATAAATTCCCTATCACTTCTCGTGCATACTACATTTTAGTGCCCCTTAGGGTTTTGCTCGGTGTTGGCTGAGAAAGAACCATTTTGTTGCTCTGCTAGCTGCTTTGCTATTTGCCCCACCTGTATCTCCAGATTTTTAATTGAAGCATCAGTGTTCATTTGGTTGGACATAGACAATTGCATGAATTGTTGCAATGTGTCTTCCAAGGTGGTTCTCTCATACAAAGGTGGGTGTTGGTGTTGATGTGGAGGCCTGCTACTTGATAAAGCATTCATGTCCGGCTTGTTTCCACCATAGTTATTTCTCCACCCCTGATTTGAATTTTGCGGATAGGGGTGTTGAGAGAAATTTTGCCGCCTTTGATTCCCCATATATTCACTACTTCACCTTGGGAACTAGATGATCCGGCACAATAACCATTAGGGTGGTCACCTCCACAAAAATCACATGACATAACTTGTTGCACAGGAGGAGCATTAGATTGCATAGCTTGAAGTTGTTGAGGAAGCTTGGCCATCTGTTGATTCAAGGCTTCAATCTGTTGGGAAAGTATCTTGTTTTGAGCTAACACTACATCTTGAGTACTCATCTCCAAAACTCCCCTCTTGTGTGAAGAGCTTCTACCATGCTGGCTCCTAAAGTCTGTGGAAGCCATGGACTCAATGATGGTGATAGCCTCTTCAGCAGTTCTGAACATGACTGACCCTCCAAAAGAAGCATCCAATATCATCTTGGTTTGAGGTTGTAACCCATTACAGAAAGTCTGAACTTGATGCTCCACCTCAAAACCATGATTGGGGCACCTCCTCAACAGTGATTTGTACCTCTCCCACGCTTCACATAATGGCTCATCCGCACCTTGAGCAAAGGTAGCAATAGCAGTTCTGGCCTCAATGTTCTTGGACGGGGGAAAGAACCTGGCTAAGAATTTAGTCTCCACATCCCTCCAAGTAGTCAGGCTTTGGTTTGGCTAAGAATGAAGCCAAGCCTTAGCCTTCCCATTCAGAGAAAATGGAAACAACCTCATGAACAGTGCCTCTTCATCAGCCCCAGAAACTCCAACTGAACCACACAACTCATAGAAAGTATAGAGATGAGTATGTGGGTCTTCATGATCCAAGCCAGAAAATTGATGAGAGCTGATAAGCTGTAGGAGTGCATGCTTCATCTCTGCTAGTCTGTCATTCATGGTAGGCCTCACAATGCTAGATAATTCCCTCGGGCTAGTGTAGGTGAAAGCATCACCTATAGTGCACCAGTTGTAGCTGTAGAAACTGGAAGAGTCATGATAAGACGAAGTAATCTATCAATCAAGTAGTAAACTTCTGACTTTTTTGTTGTTGCCAAACATGTACACAACTCTTGCATTGTTGATAAATTCTTCAAATTTGAATCTTGACGAGCATCAACAATGAAATGTTGAAGTTGGAAATGCAAATTAATTTTCTCCTGCTCACTGAAATCCATGGGATAATATTTGTCTACAAGAGTGCAAATGTCTTCAATATTGAAAGCTTTATAAGCATCCTTAGGAACCAATGTCATGCTTAGAGTTAATAACTCCATTGCCTGGTCATTAAATCTACAATTCAACTCCTGTAATTGCTTATCAATTGTAACAAAGAATATTTCAACTCTCAAATAATGCTCCACTGTAATATGATCTTTTTGGTGACGAGAGCGCCCTTGCCTTGCTACATAAGAAGCACTAAATTGAGGAACCTCAATATCATGTTTTTCACAAAAAGATGTCACATTTTTTAATAACTTATCCCAACCTTCTTCTCTCAAGTTTTGGATAAGTGTTTTTGTAGAACGAACTAAATGCATAGCATTAACTACATCCTGAGATTGTTGTTGTAAAGCTTGACAAAGAACATCTGTTATCCCCATAATTTCTCTCATCAAATGCAAGATCAATATAAACTCAAATGAGGTCAAGCTTTTGTAAGCATTATCGGCATCCCCACGTTGAGAATAAGTAGATCCATCAACAATAATTTTTTCTAAAACAGAACAAGTTGCATCATACATATTTATCAAGCTACAAATAGAAGAGAAATGGGAGCTCCAACGAGTATCCCCAGCTCGTTTCAAAGTACAAATTTGATTTGCCCCTTTACCATTTTCAAGCTCATCAATCTCTAGCAAATATGCAATTTCATCTAACTTGGCAGCTTGTAACTCATCATGCCGCTTACTAGAAGAGCAAACAATATTCACAATAAAAGTCAATTTTGAAAAGAATTGATGAATTGGAATAACTTCTCTTGATGCAGCAACCAAGGCAAGTTGTAACCGATGAGTAAAACAATGAACATAATATGCATAAGGGACAATTAATTTACAATATATGTGTTGGGGTAGTAAGGGTGTCACATCATGACCCAAATCTAACCAACTCAATAAATATCGGATTGGTTTGTTTCAAGTTAATTAAAAAAAAATTATGAAATGCAAAACCGATTGGAACCAATTAAATTTAATTGGTTTGAATTGGATTTCATTCAAAATTAAACCTACCTTATTTAATTTGTATATTTTTAAGGGACAAAACTTAGGTATAGTTTCTTAAATATAATTGTTGTTGTTCACCAATTTGAATTAGAACTTTACATCAATAATATCCATTTGTATTTAATATAAATTTTATTAATATACATTTACGTATATTATTGGGAAAAAAACACCAATCGTAATTAAAAAATAATATCAACTATATTTAAGAAATTGTACCTAAATTTTATCTATCTTTAAATTGTATACATTTTCATGTTGATAAAAAAAAAAAAATTTGTTTGTAGTAAGCAAGAAAAACTCTTTATCTAGAACCTTATTTGGCAAAAGAAATATTTAAGAAAAAAAGTGTATTTAACCAAAATTTATGTTTGACAAGTTAAATATATTTTATGAAGAAGGTGAAAGATAAGAAAACATTTTCAATATTTTTTTTCCTTCAGAAAATTAAAATATAACTTACGAAAAACAATATATATTAAAAAAAAACAATTTTTATTTCAAAGCTTAACATAGATCTAAAATATCAAAAGCATATATATGAAGGGTGTTAGGTACATTATCCTAGTGCATAGTGCTACTTACAAAAAAATGACACATCATTGATCATTTATGCAGCAGGCATGTACGCAACCTACATCAGTACCAAATTAAAAGGGACAACTCAATCAAAGGGATTGTTACCTATAACTATAGCTTTGAAAAATCATGAAATTATTAATTATCAAACTATGGCTTAACTTGCTAATCACAAATTCAGATGACAAAAAATCCAGTTCCGAAGTCTAACTTGGTTTGTGCACCATGCATGCTGTTATAGGTTGAAAGAGAATTTCAAACTGTCTAAACACATTGACAATTCATACTTGATATTTTTTGTCTGAAGGCGAATGTGATGCACGTCATAGTTGGATTGGAATAGCACCCAAATTAGTTGTGAGAAGGCCAAATGTTAGGAACGGCACTAGAAATTGTGACCAGAGACAAATTAGTTATTTGTCTACTATTTTGTTTTTTTGGCAAGAGACAAATAAGTGAGTTATATGCTTTTATCTAAAAAAAACTTAACATACAGTAGAATACGTGTTTTTAGGGTATTTTTTCCATTTATAAATCGAGTTTTATCATATTAATACATATCGACATTTAATAGAGTTTTTATTATATACATTATTAATGTAAAATTCTAATTTTTATTAAAAACATAATATTAATAATACGTATAATATTGTATGTAAGTTTTATTCTAATATACAGTTATATAAATTTTTTAGTATCATTTTTTAATTAAAATTTTTCTCATATCTATTATTAAAATAAAATTTAATATAATTTTAATTAAATTTTGTCTTAATATAAATATTAATTATATATAATAAACATTTAATTTATGTAATACACAATCTAAAATACTAGTTATATATAATATTAGGGTTAATATTATGTCACTAAGCCATATTTAATTGATCTTATCTTATATATGATTCAATCTTAATTGAATTTGAATTAATAAAATCAATCCGATCAAAATTTTGGATCAAAATTTAAATTTAAGTTTTTTATAATATAAAATGTAATTATAAGTATTTGTAAATTTTTAATAATGTAAAATTTGTAATTAAAATTAATTTAGATATTGATGTTACCTATAATTCTAAAAAAAAATTTATCATGTCAATCTTCTTATTTCCTTAGTACAGTAAATATTAAATGGGTTTTATATATCTTTTCAAGATAAGTAATTTATTTTTAACTTCAAATTTTATTGTCTGTGTAAAAGTTTTTTTTTCTTCTTCTTTTAGTCCCTTTCATTTTCTTTTTAGTATTCTGGTTCCTACCATTAAATTGGCCAATAAATCTAATGGAGAAAAGTTTTAAAAATTATAAAAACTAAAATAAGAAAGTCAAAAAAATTACAGATTTAAAATTTAAGAGATCAACGAAAATTTCAAAATTTGAAAGAACACCAAAATGAAAATAATATTAAAATTAAGATGGTTAAAATGAAAATAACTAAAAAAAATTAAGAGATTTAAAATTCAAATGATTCTTACTTTAGATGGACTAAACATCTATTTAAGTAAAATTTATAAAATTTAAATATTTAAATATAATAAAAGCATTTCTATAAAGTAAAAATAACCTTATAACGTATAGATTAGTAAACAGACAAACAATTTATAAAAATTAAATGCACAACATTATAAAAGTCATACAATAACTCAATCACCCTTACAATGTGAAAAAAAAATAATAATAAACAAAACAAATGAACATAAAAAATTAAACACAAAATAACTTTTTACTCCGTATAAGTGTATTTATTATATTTAAAGGTTTAAATTTTATAAATTTAATTTAAACATAAATTTATTCACTACAAAATAAAGTTGTTTTATTTTTTATTTCTTAATTTTATAATTTTTTTTTTAGTCTTAACCTTTTTTTTCGATCCTTTTAGTCCATGTAATAAAGTGTCACTTGACATATGATTGTAACATATAATATAAGGGCAATTTGATGTCATTTTAATAGTTGATATTATAATATTATGTTATTTTAATCTCTTAAATTAAACTAACATGTTATAATTTCAAAAATTAAAATGATATAACGTCAAAATATTTCAAATTATAAATTCATCCATATGCCATGTGACATACATGACAAAGTAAATCCAGATGTGTGTGGCACTTATTATGTATATAGATACTTTCATTAAAGAAAATATATGTATTTTTAGAGATCAATTAAAATGAGTGATGATGAATTACGGTTTTAAAAGTTTTTTTTTTAATCTCTTTAAATTTGAAGACTAAAGTCATAATGAGTCACAATTTTAAGAACTACATTAAACATTTACTGATTTGTTAAAATTTAAATTTATCTGGTTTTTTTAAATATAAATGTAATATATGTTTTTTCCCATGCTCTAAGCAAACCCTACTTTTCAGGGAAAAAATAAAAAATAAAAAGTAGGCCCTACTTTTTTTTTTAAAATAAAGCCCCTAGAAAAATCTTATTTTCACTTTACGCAGTCTGCTGTACTAAACCCAATATAAAATCAAGATCCCAGGAGATGTACTATAAGTTTTTTGATTCATAATTTGGATTCAATATCATGTTATGACTTCTCCATTGAGTGAGTTTCAGTTTGTACCAACCCAAAATACACATAATTTTTATATCTTTGAAGCCCAAAGTACATTTTATTGTGATAATTGGGTCCAAATTCCACTAGCAAAAGAGGGTGAAAGGATAGATGAATATTAATGAATAAATTACACAGATAGTATAATTAAAGAGTTACATATTATAATTCAATTACAAAATGTAATGATGATAAATTTTTATAATTCAATTACAAAATGTAATGATGATAAAATTGTTGATTTTTAGATAATTATTTTTATATAAATAATAATTCTCTAATGGATTATCTGTATAAATTTTTTTGTACATTACCACTTACCAGTAAATAGAGATAATATATATATATATAGGGAACATAAGTGAGAGGGAATTTATTATAAGAGATGAGAGGGTTAAAATATAATCCTTAGATTAATCAAGTGAGAGAAAATTTGGGGTTTAATCAACTGAGAGAAAATTAATTTAAGGGTTATATTTTAACCCTCTCATCTCTCATAATAAATTCTCTCTCACTTGATATACTCCCTATATATATATATATATATATATTCAATTAAGAATGCAACCATAAAATTGAAAGATTACAACAAAAGATAAGAGGAAATTTGAAGAACAATAAGGGTGATTAATTGCTTACCTTTATTTTTCGTCGACAGCTTACTGTTTACTATTGTTTTTTTGGCATGTCACTTGATGACGAAAATTAATTTTCTTAATGTTAAGATAAAAGCTTAAATTTATTTATTTTCCTACAAAGTTAGTATGTTTTGATTTTGATTCCTATGAAAGAAAATTATTTTTTATCCCTCTAAAATTTGAAATTACATTACAAGAAAATTGTCATATAGTAATACACACTCATATATATAATTGATTCATTATTTTTGCATAGACAAAAAAATTTAAAATATTTTTATCCTTTATATATTACGATAACTTCACACTTCTTTTTTTTTTCCATGGAGGATAATTTCATAATTTGACTTTATTAATCTAAATAAAAATTATCATTTGTTAAAAATAAATTACATACATCATAATTACTTTGTAACTTTCACATCTCAAAACATTAATAGATACTCTCTACCCCACATACTATTATAGTATACATTTCGATAATTCTTAAAAAGGATATTTTACTGAATAAAATTAAACTAGTTGGATAGAAGTATTTCATTACAAGTCAAAATTCATCAATAAGAAAAACTAAATTTGGAAGCAATTACAAGGAAAAAGAGTTTGATACTAAAACGTATTCAACTAACAAAATTTAAGTCCTAATATAAAATAATCAACAGAAAATATATAAACTCTTATCTACTACCTTGATGTCAGATCCTAATAGGGCACTCCCAGCACAAGGTCTAAACCTCCTCACCATTTTCATAATTAGTTTTCATTTGCAAGCATACGCTAAAACAAATAATCAAGAAAGGAGAGTGAGAAACATCTCACTTTAACTGTTGATGCGAGTTATATGGTCGGGTAGCCTCACATAGATAAACAACAAATATGCCTTTATAGTTAATATCAAGATACATTAATATCACTATATCATACATCTCAACATTTATCACATTCATAGTTTGTAGACAATTAAGATACAATGGTTATGATATGATACTATAATGGACATGACTCTTCTAAATTATATGCATGTGGCACTAGTAAAACATTTTAACACTGCTTGAAGATTGATCGCTTGAAGGTCACTTCCTAAAGGCTCACAACTTGAAGGCGAAATCTTGATACGATTGTAAAATATTTCATGCATATGATGCGTGTCTCACACACAAGACTTCATGTATACAATTCTCATCGTATCATCATCACACCAATACACATCATGTAACTCTATCACAAACTCAAGTCACTCACATACCATATTATTGTTTCATTTTCGTATCACACATTATCATCATTCACCAACATCACGAACATTGCACACAACATTGTCAAGTCAAATATTAACATTTCGTATGGTGCACATCACATGGAAACATCTCATATCTCATACAGACACAAAGACTCAACCACACGATTTTACAGACATATTTTCATACCTTTATCATTACCCACTCATAACTTATTTACAAATATCTTCTCTCATACTTTATCTTTCTTAGCATTTGATATAAGAAACTCCAATTATTTCCCAGATTAAGCACTTAAAGGATAAAATAACTCATTAACTATCTTTTCGTATCTTAAGCTTCTACGACATTATAGTGTTTAAAAATGATATTTGGAGTTATACTTATAGTATCAAGTTGATCTAAATTTTATTGGAAAGATGAGACAATTAGCTAAAACTTCTATGTTGACCTTAAGAGTTAATTTTATCATCTATTAATTTTAAAAATTACAAAACTGTAGCATTTTAGCCTAATTTTGACAACTTGACATCGTTCCCTTATTTGATCATAACTTGAGTTCTAAATATTTTTTTGAGTTATTCCAATGGTGTTGGAAAGCTAATATCTAGGGTTACAACTATCATGAATATTAACAAAATCTAATTCGACCATTTAAGTCTCCTCGCAAGGGCTTACAACATACGTAGGTTAATTACATTTTATGCACAAAACATGAGGTTCATCTTTTAATTCATGAGACTCAGTCATTCCTTAATATTTTTATGTCATTCTTAAGTCTAAACTATATTCCCAAACGTCTACTTTCTCACTCAACAATTGAAACTCACTTTGGATTTATATCCCTCGCTAATCCACGAAATTCTTGTAGTGCTCAATGAACGTCAAAAGTTAGGTGTGAATCTCCAAACTCATCTCTGGTTCTCCCTTCATAATGAGAAGCAAGAATATGACAACACCCAAAAGTAGAGCTTTTACTGCAAAAATCATGTCCCATGAACCGTCGTCCAAAAATCAATCTGATCCAATGGTGAACAAATCTCTAGTTTCAATTTGAAAAATGTTGGTGGATATGTGAACTAAACAATCAATTTTCTCGCTTTGCATATCTCTTACTTTGTTGTTATTAATTCTCTCTCAATGATGAGACAGTCTCTCCTCTTTATAGCACAAGAATGAGTGTTAATTATGAGAGACAATCCTAGACTACTAATCTACATATAGGGAACACGAAACTCTAACTCTTACATACCTGCAGTAAAAGCTAGTCAACTATTATTATTTACTCCTCTCTTTAAAATTTAAATTATAATATATAATAATTAATTAATTTCAAAGTATTCCTTTTGAGATAAGAAAATAAAATATTCTCAATTATCTACCACCTAAATCTTATATGTCCTGATTAGATAATAATTCAAAACTTTTATTAGTTAGTTGCATTACTTTTCATATAATTTCCTCAATTATATTAATTAAAATACCTTTTTTTTATTAGTATATATAAATAAAATATATAAATAATGTAATTAATATTAATATTTTTTATCCATTAGAATACAATAATAGCACTAGGATTCGAATCTATGGACCTTGTGCATACTATTCCAATTCTCACCACTAATTTGATCCTAGTTGCTTAATTAATATTATTATTGTTGTACACTCACAATATATGTTGTGATTCAAATATAAGTTATTATGTACGATAATTTTATTAATTTTTATAATAATTATTTTCAAAATCATACTAATGACAGTTTTTAAATTTTATTAAAAATTATATTATTTTAGAAGTATTTTTCAATCTTGTTGATAATTAGTATCGGTTGAAAAATTGGACTAAACATTATATTAGTGCAACTACTCATCACTTCTAGTAGAATCTCTTATTCCAATCATATATATTTTATTTTATTTATAAGACTTGAATAAATTAATTTTAAAATAAAATTTATGTAATTAAATTATGTTAACTAATTTCTTAAGTAGATAAATAGATATAGAGAGTGAATGTTGGTAGATACTTGGACCAAATTCTCAAGCAACCAATGAGCATATGCTTTTAAGGGTTGCTGAGAAAATAATAATTATTGTAGAATTCTTGTTCGATGGTGTATTCCTATATTTCCTAATAATGGTGACAAAAATTTACAACTTACAAAACAAGCACAGTAGCATCAACTGTATATTATATTTTTATTTTATCTTATTCATTGTTTGCCTTTATTTATTTGTGTGTTTTAATTTGTTGAGTTTTGTCATGACGCATATCAATGTCGTGAAGTTAACGGTTACTTGTGGACAAGAGAGATATAAAGGAGGATCGAGAAGAGTTAGTTGACACTGATAACTACCTGTTGGATGCTTTTGGAGGAAGTAATTAATGAAGTCTATTGAATAAATTAATAATAAAAAATTGAAAAATTGAGTTAGAGAACACAATTAGTTCTTATGGGGTGTTAGGCTTTTAATTTGACCTTGACAAACGAATCACAGAAATAAATCGCCAACTTAGTTAGCTTAATTAAATGCAACAAATAAATGGAGTTTGCACCTATTGGCTCGGCTAATAATGTGTCCATACTCGGCTTTAAGCCACACTATAAATGCTAGGTTTTAGCCATGACTTGAGACCCACGTTGGGTGACTCATTAGTCATTGGAAAATAGTAAATTTTTCTGCTCTATACAGAGTACACGAGAGCTTTACGAAAACCAGACGCAACTTTGTTTCACACAGCAAACTACGTTGAGAGGAACCTCAAATATCCCATTTTCTTGTAATGTTTTAAAAGCGAAAACAAACGTATTGATTTAGAGATTTTAAGTAGTGTAGACATTACTTACACAATTTATAGTATTAAATGTATACTTTTATATTTTTTTTAAAATATAAATATAAATTAAATTATTTTATATGAGATTTCATTTTTAAAAAATATTGAATGACTTTTTCATTTTTAACATTTTTTAAAAATATCTTTCTACATTTCGTATCAAAATTTTGATCTTTTTTCATCTTTAAAATAGTATAATATGAGTTTAGGTCCGTCATCATTTCTTAATCTTTTTATTGACTTTGACTTAACTATAATTAATATTCTCTTTGTCTTATAATAAGTATTGTTCTAGGTTGTTTTATAGCAGATAAAAATAAGAAATCTTGTGATAAATAATTAGTATAGACAATGCAATACAATATTCACTTTTTAAAAAAGATTATGAAGGGTATAAATGAAAAAAAAAAAAAGTAATTAATTTTATATTGAAAAGCTAACATGAAACTTATTTTAAAACTTATTTTTTCTTCAAATATGACTCTTATTACAAAGACATAATATTATATATATTGTGAAGAAATACTTCTAAAAGTTAATATATTAACTTTGACTTTTTTAACAAAATAAAAATGTAGAAAAGAGTGGGAGCACTTAGTTTTTAACATGGAAAGTGTGAGTACGTTATTATAAATTTATAATAAGCTTAAATATGTTTTTAATCTCTCAAATTTAAGGTAAATTTGTTTTTAGTCCCTCAAATTAAAAATTGGTCTTTTTAATCCCTGTAATTTCAAAAAAAAATATTGTTTTAGTCTTTATACTCAAATTTTGTTATAAAATCTATCAAATATTGTTGTCTATATAAAATCTATTCACTGATGTCTATATTAATAAAAGTGTCATGTTAAATCCAGTTGAAATTACATTATTATCTCAATCTGTTATTTTCAAATATATAATTGGTGACTCAAGAGATTAAATTTGAGAAATCAAAAATAAGTTTATGCTAAATTTAAAAAATTAAAAACATATTTAAACCTTAATAATATATATACATATAAACTAATTAAATATAAAAAATGTTAATAGGGACAAATGCCCCACTATGATTCATGTGATTCGTAACTAAACGTATTAATCGTTGATGGACTACAACTCACGAATTTTATTTAGATTAACATAAACACGCTTTAATTTTGTAATGTACATTTCACTTAATATTTATTAAAGTGATTTTAAATAATTAATATGTACCACCCACATCGGTGCCTCGGCCCAATATCAGCGCACATTGACATTAGTGCCAAAACTCACCTCGGCACATGGACACAAAGCCACATCGGCTGAGAAGATAAAATCATTCCCCAACTAACAAGATAAAAAGATAAGTCCACAATCTTATCGGATCATAACCGATCTCACTCTCACCTAAGGGAAAAACCCTAACTCACACTAAGGTACGTACATTATATATACGAGACCCGCACACTTACAAGAACTAACTTAAGCATCAGAGTCTCTTTTGCAGGTACCTCTCCGATCTCGGAGCAACCAACGTACGAAGCAGAGGAGGCTCTCCCGACTTCATCAGGAAATCGTCCCTAGACCGATCTTAGGTGAGTACGTTTGGCGCCCACCGTGGGGTCGAAGAGAAATCCCCTCTCTACGACCTAACTGATGGTTTCTACCCGAAGCCATAATAGACGATCAATGAATAATGACGAACATAACGCACATAGGATTGAAGGAGAGGCAACACTCTGACGTTTGATCGAACAAATCAAACAAATGCGATAGCAGAACGCCGAAGTCCTCGAGGTTATGCGTGCCCAACACCAAGCCGATCTGGCGACCATGCGCGCAGAGAACGAGCGCATCCGTGCCCAACTTCGCCAGCAACCTCCCAATCAACCTCCTCAACAAAATAATCACCACGAGGAGGAACATCAATCCCCCTCGCCATCGCCAGTTACACATCGGTCGCCCACACCCACACACCATTCCGCCAACGAGGTTAGTCGCGCACCTTCCTATAACCTCGCACATCGGGCAGGCGTTCAGCACCATCCTTTTGTAGACAGAATCATGGAGGTTCCCCTTCCCCTGATTGGAAACCCCTCAACATCGATCGTTACAATGGCTCGACCGACCTGGATGAACACATCGACGCGTTCGTCACACAGATGAATCATTACACCAATGACGATGCTATAATGTGCTGATTTTTCCCAACTTTGCTAAAGGCAGCTACCCTCAATTGGTACACTTAATTACTAGTGGGATCGGTCGAAAATTTTGACACATTGGTAAAGCGATTCACCGCACAATATGCTACTAGCCAGCCTCACCACATCACATTCGCCGCCCTCGCTAACCTCAGGCAAGGCGACAACGAGCCATTGAGAAAATTCATGGAGCGGTTTGCCAATGTCTCCATTCAGATTTGCAACCTCAACCCTGAGGTCGCCCTACACGCGATGCTGATGGCTTTAAAGCCAGGCTCTTTTGTTGATAGCCTTTGTCGAAGAACCCCAGAGCACACCGAATTCCACGAACAAATTCTTGTAAGAACGCAGGGGAAACAAGACCAAAACCACAACAAGGATAAATTGAAAGTCTCCCACGAAACCCAATTCAAAAAAAATAGACCAAGCAAGGGAAGCAGGTACGAATTCTACACCCCCCTGAACACGTCCCGAGTACACATCCTAGAAGAAGCTAGCAACGCAAAGTTGATCACCCTGCCACTACCTGGACATAACCCCAACACGGTCAATATGTTCAAACACTACTACTATCACAGGAACTATGACCATACCACGGAAGAATGTAGAACGCTCAAGGACCTAATTGAAGAACTCGTTCAAAGTGGGAACCTCAAACAATATGTTCAAAGGACCCAACCTCACATAGGCGGCTACCAAGGGCCAGGCAGGAGACACAGGCGAGGACGAGGCTCCAACTTCCAAGCTGACCAACCATCCAGCTCTAGACAGAATGTCTCCATCAAAACGGAACAAGCCCCTCTAAGAGGAGTCATCAACACGATCATCGGTGGATTTGCGGGGGGTGGCCCAAGCAGCTCAGCACGAAAAAGACAGTTGCGCAGCATCCACAATATAAACATTAGCGTAATAAGCCCACTGCGCAACATACCACCCATCACCTTCACAGACGATGACTACACCGGCATCTGCCCAAACCAGGATGACCCTATGGTCATCGCCGTGGAAGTCGCCAACTAGGAGGTTCGCAAGACATTGATCGATCAGGGGAGCTCGGCTAACGTCCTATGCTGGCCAACATTTCTAAGGTTAGAAATTCCCTATACTCTCATCCAACCTCACACAGAACCCCTAGTGGGATTTGTAGGTGAACGGGTCAACACTCGTGGTTACGTGGAATTGCTAACGACCTTCGGGGCACCCCCCAGCACGAGAAGAATAATGGTCTGATATCTCCTCATTGATGCCAACACATCATACAACATCATCATAGGGAGACCGACGTTGAACCAATTTAGAGCCATAGTGTCCACCCCACACCTAAGAATGAAGTTCCTAGGAAGTCATGGAAAGGTGATCTCCATCAAAGCAAACTAAAAAATAGCTCGACAATGCTACACGAAGAGTCTGAAAGTATTGCCCCCATTCGACGTACGACACCATGACGACACTCCCACCGTAGCCCACATAACCCAAGATGTGGTAACCGATCTCGACCCAAGGTTGGGAGCTGACGATAGTCGACCAAGCCCGATTGATGACCTTGTAGACTTCCAGATTGGTCCACTACCAGGGCAATGCACAAAGGTCAGCCGCCAATTGAGTCCTAAGCTACAGCAGCAAGTCATGCTGAAATTGCAAAAAATGCCGACCTTTTTTGCATGGTCAAGCGTCGATATGCCAGGTATATATAGATCCCAGCTTTATCTGTCACAGGTTAGCAATCCACAAAGAGGCTAAACCGGTAGCCCAAATAAAATGGAAGGTCAGAGGCGAGCGCCGAGAAGCCATTGCGGTCGAAACCTGAAAGCTGATAAAAGCGGGATTCATATGAGAAATACGATACATGACTTGGCTAGCCAATGTGGTACTTGTCAAAAAGAACTCCAGGAGGTGGCGCATGTGCGTCAACTACACCGACTTAAACAAGGCTTGCCCAAAGGAAGCCTACCCTCTACCAAGCATTGACAGATTGGTGGATGGAGCTTCCGGCCATGCTCTCCTCAATTTCCTTGACACCTATTTCGGTTACAACCAGATCATGATGTACCCACCGGACTAGGAGCACACAACTTTCATAACCGACCAAGCCAACTTTTGCTACCGTGTGATGCCTTTCGGCCTTAAGAACGTAGGAGCCATATACCAGAGATTGATGGACAAGGTCTTTTATCAACAAAACGAGAGAAATATGGAGGTTTACATCGACGACATGGTTGTAAAAACCATGTCGGCCACATCGCACGTAGCCGACCTTGCCGAAGTGTTTGGACAGGTCCAAAAGCATAACATGAGGCTGAACCTAGAAAAATGCCCCTTCAAGGTACGGGGAGGTAAGTTCCTTGGCTTCATGATCACCCACAGGGGAATTAAAGCGAACCCCAAAAAATATGAAGCGATTATACACATGAGGAGCCCCCAGACGTTGAAGGAAAGTGCAAAGGCTGGCAGGTCGCCTGGCCTCCCGGCCCTTTCTCGGTTCAAACCCAGACTAGTAGAAAGGGCTAAGCCAATCTTTAACCTTCTATGCAAACCAAAGGAGTTCGCCTGGACAGAGCAATGCAAGGAGGTGATCTCTTGCTTGAAGAGCTTCCTCGCCACCCTCCCAATCCTAACACGACCAAGCACACAAGGAGATCTATTCTTATACCTCGTAGTAACTGAACACGCAATCAGTGCAGCTCTCGTACAAGACGATGGCAAGAAACAAAACTCGATATACTTCATCAGCCGTGTCCTCCAAGATACGAAAACAAGATACCAAACCATCGAGAAATTAACCTTAGCACTCGTTACTACAACTTGGTGCCTCCGACCTTACTTCCTAAGCCACCAGGTCGTGGTCAAAACTAACTACCATATTTGCCAAATTCTCAGGAAGCCCGAGCTCACCGGATGCATGATCGCCTGGTCAATTGAACTATCCAAATTCGGGATTCGATATGAAAGTAGAGGAATGCCCAAATCGCAATGCCTAGCCAATTTCGTCGCAAAATTAACACCCAACACCTCGGAGGAAAAACAAACATGGGTCCTCCATGTGGACGGCTCCTCCAATGTTAAGGGAGGAGGGGTAGGCATCATACTCGAAGGGCCCAACGGCATCCTCATTGAGCAATCTCTCAAGCTCGTCTTTCAAGCCACCAATAATCAGGCCAAGTACGAGGCACTCCTAACAGGCTTAAGGTTGGCATATGACGTCGGAGCAAGGAAAATCCTTTGGAACAGCGACTCGAAGCTAGTGGTGGGACAACTGGAAGGCACCTACCAAGCTAAAGATCCCTTTCTGTAACGGTACCTACTCGTAGCCACCAACTAGACATCAAAATTTGAAGAATTTCCCGTACATCACGCACCACGGGAGCATAACGCCTAGGCTGACCTACTCTCAAAGCTCGCTAGCACCAAACGTCCCGGCCAACACAAAACCATCATCCAGGAAACCCTTATTTCCCCCAGTTTAGAAAGTGAAGTCGCTTGTACAACTGAGGTAACCGAAAAAGAATGGATGACTGACATTTGGGAGTACTTAAGGGATGGAATCTTACCTGATGATAAAGTCAAAGCTCGGATGATCAAGAATCGCTCATCCCAATTCATAATAGAATCAGATAAATTATTCAAGCGAAGCATCTCGACACCATTGCACAAATGCCTTGGCAAATCCCAAGCTGAGTACGTACTCGCAGAAATCCACAATGGAATATGTGGTTTACACTTAGGAGCACGGTCCATGGCTGCCCGGGTTATCCGAGCAGGATACTACTAGCCGACCTTGAAGGAAAATTGCAAAGCCTTCATCCAACGATGCAAAACATGCCAAGAGTTCGACCACGTACCTCGGTAATACCCCACAGTATTGCATCAAATACAATTACCTTGGCCCTTCGCAATATGGGGGATGGACATACTCGGTCCTTTCCCCCCTGCCGAGGGACAGGTCAAGTTCTTAATCATCGCAATCGACTACTTCACAAAGTGGATCGAGGCAAACCCTCTCGCTAGAATCATCGCTAAAAATGGACAACGGTTCACGTAGAAAAATATGATATGCAGGTATGGCTTACCACACGCACTCGTCACCAACAATGGGAGGCAGTTCGTCAACCAAAAATTTGAAAACTTTCTCCAAGGACTCGGCATCAAACACCACATCACGTCCGTCGAGCACCCTCAGACTAATAGCCAAGCCGAGGCCGCAAAAAAATTACTCCTTCAAGAGCTAAAAAATAGATTGGGACGCGTAAAGGGACTTTGGGCAGAAGAGCTCCCCAGCATCTTGTGGGCATACCACAACACTCCACAATCAACAATGCAAGAGATACCGTACAAATTAACTTACGAGTTCGATGCCATGATCCTCGTAGAGGTCAGAGAAACATCACATCAGAGGATCACCTTCAACAATGGCCAAAATAACGCAAAATTGGCCATCAACCTCGACCTGCTCGATGAGATCCGAGAAGAAGCTCAGATTAAAGAAGAAGCTAGCAAAATCCGCGCATCCATAAGATACAATACCAAGGTCCGACCTCGTGGATTCCAGGTCAGAGACCTCGTATGGCGACTCCAGGGCGACACGAGGAAAGAACTCTCCGAAGGGAAGCTCGCACCCAACTGGAAGGCTCGTTCTGAATCATTGACAATCTTAAAAATGGCACCTATCGACTGGAGGAACTCGGGGGCAAGGCTCTCCTAAGGACATGGAACGCCAACCACCTCAAATTTTATTTTAGTCAAATTGTAAAGCTAGGTGTTGTACTCTTTTTCCCCCTCAGCTTTTTTTCCAACAAAAAAAAAGGGTTTTTCCTGAGGAGGTTTTAATGAGGCACACCCAAAACACCAATAAAACAAATCCATTCTTATATAAATATCTCTCGTTCATCATAAAGCTTAATAACCCAAGGTTGAATTCAAACCTTGAATTTTAAAACCCAAGGTTGAATTCGAACCCTGAACTTTATAACCCAAGGTCAAATTCGAACCTCGAATTTTAAAACCCAAGGTCGAATTCGAACCTTGCATTTTAAAACCCAAGGTCGAATTCAAACCTTGAACTTCAAAATCAAAAGTCGAATTTGAACCTTGCACTTTAAAACCCTAGGTCGAATTCAAACCTCGAACTCTATAATCTAAGGTCGAATTTGAACCTTGAACTCTATGATCAAAGGTCAAACTCGAACCTCAAACCTTGAGCCTGAAAATCCTAGGCAAACTCAGATTTAGCATAACAATAAAACAAATCGTAGGGCCACTCCAAAGCTCTAAGACAAAACAACTAGGTTGCAGAGCAAAAGAAAAATTCATTCAAGGCCTAAGCGACGGCATTCTCGCTCGAGCTCTTGGATAGATCATCCTCATTCACCAATTGCCCATCTCACACGTCCTTCTCCACATGCATCACAGAAAAGTCCACCTCGGACGCGTTCACTTTGGCCTGACGAGCCGCCTTGGCAAAGCCTCCCTTATGCTCAACCAAGACGACACATTGAGTAACTAGAAGCTCTTTCTCCATACCCTTCTTTGACGATGAGAGAGCCTCAAGGTCCATCTTCAAAGTCCTGACTTCCTCGCCTCTGCCAACGAGAAGAACTTCATCAAAAAGGTGCTTCTCCTCGGCTGCCCGCAACTTGGCCTTCAAAGCTCGGTTGTCCTCCTCCAAAGATTGAACATGGGCCTGGGTGGTCCTAACCTCGCTCCTCGCGCCCTTTAAAATCTCCATTAGTTCACCAATCTTGACCGCATAGGACTCGTTTGCTTTCACTATCACAGCAAGCGACTTTTGAAGTTTCTCTAGATCCCTCTTCAAATCTCGGAGCTCAACTTGATCCCTCTGTGCCTTCTCCAGATCATCCTGATTCCTCGCCCATCGGCGCCTCCAATGGTCCACTATGGTAATGGACCTTTGCATGAAGACCTCGGTTGAATCCAACCCCTCGATCGACCCGACCTTCTCAATTATGGCTTTGTCAGCCACCAAAGCAGGATCTTCCTTGTAGAACCCTTCAGAGGTTAAGTTG